TTGAAATAATACTCTAGAGATGAATCTTTGGCTTTTAGGGAATGCGAATCCTATATTTAGAGCTCTTCATCACAAAATTCCCAACACCCAGATTAATATAAATTGTACCCTTTCCACAAGACTTGATATGCATTCTCTTATGAGAACACTTCCATTATGAATATGATGTGCATCTTTAAATCCATTTTTAGGTAAAATAAACTATATCCTCACATTTTAACTCACTGATTTCTTGATTGAATGGCTTTAAGGATGGTCTTGTATGCTGACTAAAATATATGAGCACATTGAAGTATGATTTAGGAATTACTACTAGAACTGAAGAGTATTATTTAATGTTTATGAATTAAAAAGCATGGCCTATTAAATCGTTTCTTGCCATTTGACAAGGAAGACCCTATGGCTACCTTTTAAAACTCAAAATTAAAAGAAATACTTATTTGTAACATACCAACTTCTGGTTTCATCCAGTTTTATTTGAAATAGTTCTAGTTTTTTTTCACATTTATTATTTAATGAAGCTTAGTTACAAGGTTAACACTGAAAAACTGTAGAAAGAGGATGGTGGCTGGAAAAAGGCAAGGCTTATATTCTCTCTCTCTCGCTGTCTCTTTGTAGTTCTCTGGAAAGTAGGCTGTCACTAAGAAACACTGACAGTAGTTCTTTTCAGGATCTGATGTGCCAAGGTGAAGCCAGATCTTTTCTAATAGTGGATTTTAATTTTAAATGAGAAGGCATTTGGAAATGTTGAAGGCATATTCACCCACAAGTCCTAACAAGCCAAGCCTACTCTGTTACAGACAAATCCTCAAATTATAGACTGCCATAGAAGAAGGTAGGAAACTAACAGTCCATGAGCAGGGGAGACATGTGACCACACCAAAAGCATGAACAAAGCGGATTTTGCTACCTGTTTGGGCTGGGCAAATACTATGATTCATTATGAGTTTATAGTTCTGGTCTAAATATTCTAAAAGTTTAAGATGGGAAAATAAGGTGCATTCTTTTCATTCTGTAACCTATCTCATTTTACCTGGGCTCATTTTGATTTGCTTCATTGTTATTCACGAGAGCCATTTTATCCCTGAGAATTGCCAGTTGACTTTGCGGAATTGGCTCAGCCAGCCAATCCCCGAATCCCAGCCTCCTTCTAGATGAGCCCCTCCGTGTAGTTGTGAGGAAGCAAGGTCAGAGGGAACCATGTGAAATAAGGACATTTCCTACCTCTGGCCCTCCTCTTGACTGTTGGGCAAGCACTTCTTAGTGCCTCCGGGCCCATGGCATTTAGTGATACCCCCATTCGGATGAGGATCCTCAACCTCTCCCATGCACAGTGCCCCAATATTGTGTAAGGTTGTAGGCTTGGCCCTGACTCACAGAGTAGAGGTGATTTGTATCCTGTGAGTCACCTGCACCACTTCCTGCTGGCACATTTGAGATTTCACTGAAACACAATCTCTGGAAGGTGAAGGCAGAGGGACGAAGGGCTGTGCCTCAAATTCCTAAAACTCACTTGGAGATTTGGCAGAAATAATGGCCCCTAAAGGAATTTTGAGTTTTAAAGCATTATTGAAACGGAGTCCCAAAAGCCCATTTTGAGTTTACAGATCATCTACCCCATACCATCTTGCACACAATTCCTCTATACTTTATTCATTTTTTTTTAAGATTTTATTTATTTATTTGTCAGAGAGAGAGAGAGCGTGGGCAAACAAGCAGGGGGAGCTGCAGGCAGAGGGAGAAGCAGACTCCCCGCAGAGCAGGGAGCCCGATGTGGGACTCGATCCCGGGACTCCAGGATCATGACCTGAGCCGAAGGCAGTCGCTTAACTGACTGAGGCACCCAGGCCTTGGGGTACTTTAGTTACCAACGTAGAGTTTGCCACCAGATAGGTTTTCTGACACATTGACACTATCCCAAGGTCTTCATATCATAGTGAATTGTTTTCTTAGCAGAGACCCATGGTCAAGGATCAAAAACTCAGAGATAGTATTTGCAATTGAATCATAGACCATCATTGTTCAAATAACACTAAATCATGGAAAAAAAACAAACCTGTAAGATTAAGGAAATATATGTATAGGACTTTAGCATCCATTCCTTCCCTCTATGATTTTAAAATAGTGAGTAGTGATTCTCAAGGGTGACAGGGTGGTGGATATCAGAATTCTCCATGGGTTGACTTTTTCAATATTTGATCAGCTTCACCTACTGTTCTGCTTGAGTTTGCAAGGGCATGGGGCAGCGATGAAGTTGACAGAAGCAAGCTTTAAAATCACTCTTTTAAAGCACTAGAGCTGTGCAGAGGGACAGGAGATTTAGCAACAGTTTTGCTATTTTATTGGCTGTGTGCGTCCATGACAGAACTGCAGCCTTTCATTTGAGAATATTTAAAATTATTTACAGTTTCATCTGTAGAAGACCCGGATGTTGAATTCATGCAGTGAGTCTCACAGAAACCATCCCTGAGCCATGGACTATGTCCAAGGGAGCGTCACAGGTTAGGAGAGCCCAGTTTTTGTGGAGGCACACCCTGCACTGAACATCCTTTAATTCACAAAGACAAATATTTCACCTGTGGCCTGACCAGGTGGAACCAGTGGAAAAACTAACAACTACTAAAAACCTTAAGAAAAAAAAAAAGACTAAGGAGCAACACCCGAAAACAATTAGCTGAATTCTGTAATAGTCTCAGGTTGCTGTTGTAAACAGATCCAGACAGGAAAGGCTAGTCTTTGATTTCCACAAAAGACAGAGAAACGAGCCTCAAATGTATGTTTGCACGGTGGCCAGGGCTGTTGGGAGAATTTCTTGGGGGGAGAATTGGTAACGTTTTCGCCAAAGCCTCTCTCAGTTGAGGAAGCTTGGAGACATAGGAGTGTCAAGGATGTAAAAACACACATCTAGAGCTCCAGTTTGTGTTGAGTGGACTGTGTACGCTGAAGGGTTTAATTCTTTGATAGGAAAAGTTCATGGCAGAATTAAATTGAGAAGTAGAACAAAATTGGCTTGTGGAGAGCCCACTCTCCACAAAAAGCTACGTAGACAAAGTTATCTTTTTCTATCTCTGTTTGAATGACAATGAAATCCAAACTTTAGCCATTTTTTGTTGTCATTTAAGAAAGATGATTTATGTTTCCTTTAAGACCAATGGAAACAGCATTTATATTGTAGGAGAAGTATGGGGTGGGAAGGAGATAGTTCTAAATTTTCCAAACAGTATTGTCAAATCATTGAAAGATTATGAGTCTTGCTGAACAAAGATAGATTCCTAACTCTTATTTTTAAGGTCGCTAACTATATACTCAGTCTTGGACATTTAATTTAACTGCACTGAGGTTGTTTGGGGCTAATAACTACTTAATAGGATTGTTCTAAGGGTCAAGTTTGAAACATTACGAAATTATAAGCTATGATCCTGATGTGTAATTTCATTTTTAGCACCTCAATAATATGCAATATGCTTAACATATACACGTCTCCTCTGATTGAGAAAAAGTAAAATAAAATCCTTTCTTACATGGATTAAATCGTTCTTTAAAATACCCAATTACAAAGAGATTTGTAATCTTGTTATAGACCAGTAGAGGGCACTACCCACATATGGTGCTAAAACTAGAGACCGGATCAAGAGTATCATGGAATATTTGTGGGAGTCTCTGGTGTGCTAGGCATTTTGGAAAAATATCATTTCATTTAATTCACCCCCAAACTCTGTGAAGTAGAGGATACTGAGATCCAGAGAAGCTAATTAATTTTTCCAAAATCACATAACTCAAGCTTTCTCCTGGGATTGCCTTTCCATCATACTTTGTTGTCTCCCTATGGGATTAAAGGCCCTGCTTCAATTATATTTGCCCTGGTTTGTCTGGATGATGGTCACTATCTTCTAGTGTTATTACCTGTTTCCAAGTTCTATAATGTGGCCCATTAACAACATTGCTATGCACTCTTGGGAAAGTTACTTAAACTCTCTGTCTCAGTTTTCTCTCATGTCTAGCGGGGATAACAGTAGTATCTTCTTCAAAGAGTCACCGAGTGAATGAAATAAGATAATATAGATAAAGAGGATAAGAACCACGCCTGCATACAGTCCACGTTCAAGAAGTGTTAGCTGCTGCCAATTATTGCAACTAATGGTCTCACCGCCATTCGTATTGACTATATAACAGTTACTCATATCAACTAGAAAGAAGGGTGAAGTGCAAACGCCCAACTCCTAAACAGAAGCAGCTAAATCCTCTTCAGGTGCAATTAAAAGGATTCTTCTTATGCTTTCTATGCAATTCAGAAACTACTTGAGTCATTCTGGAGCCTGTTTTCCAACATTTGTCTTTCAGGTGGCAAACACACAATAAAAAACCTCAGACTTTTATTGGACTGACAGAAACTGGCTTCTGGGGCTCCATGGTTCATGTAGGATGGACGTTCATTCCCATATTAGATATGTTCTGATTTTCCTTAGATTACATTTTATTAATTAAAATCTACTTTTGCACATAATACAATGCAAAGAATAATGTAGGCACTTAAATCAACAAGGAACATATCTAAGGTTGAGAGTCTTGTTTTGTTGTCACCGGCAATAGAACCTGAGTTTTACTGAAGTCTTCTTTCATGATGGGTTCTAACTTGGAGCATTGCTCCGAACACACTGTGGAGCAAAATAAGGAAAATCCTACAATTTCGATTGCTAAGCTTCTTAGGAAGTCAAACTTCACTATCAGGTCTTTGACATTTAGAGCTGGTCAGACCTGTAACCAGGAATGTCATGCCAAGGTTTTCACCCTTGGACAGGGAGCCGGGGGCTCATTTATTTTCAATTATGTGCCTGTTTTCACGAATTAGTTTCTCTTATGGTTTCGATGGATCGAATTTGAATTCTTGAAATAATTAAAACAACCCTACAGTACTGTGATTATGTGGAAATCTGATCAAGGTTTCTTTCCTAGAAGCACTGTTTATGTATTTGTTTCCTCCCCACCCCCGCCATAAATAGGTCTCCATCTCCTCCAAGCAGTTCTGGGCACCACTGTGATTCCTTCCTGCATCCCGGGAGAATCCGAAGATAACTGCACAGCATTAGGTAAGCCCAGCTTTGCCAGCATGGCACCAGAGCATCACGTGTTCATAACAGGAATGTACTCAAAGAGGACAGATATGTGACAGTGTAGAGGAAAGGGGGGCGAGCGCTGCTATGTTAGAATCATTTCTTAAACACCCTTACGAACTAGTGGTCTGAAAAAATTATATAAAAGGATAACTGGTGGGAGAGGGATGAGGCATCTAGTTATATAGAAAGATTGGATCTTAAAGCGATAGGAAACAATGAAAATCAGATTCTGATTTCATTTGGCTTTGCTGGGAAACCGTTGTTAGAGGTTGGATCCCAGGCAAAACAGGAAAATTTAAACTTTGTACACAGTAGATAATCAATATATTTTGTTATTTTTTGTAAAAGGAATAAATGATGTCCTTTCTTTCTGGTTACAATGTTCGTTCAGAAAATATTTATGGAATACTTAATACCTGTCAAATGCCGTGCGTAGGCATGGAATACAAAGAGAAGTAATGCACTGTTTCCCTCAGGGACCCCTGAGGACTCTGGATGTGGTTCAGGAGAGATCTGCTTTAGATTCAGTCTGAGTATTGAGTCAAGGGTTATCCTGAGGAACTAGCGTATTTCCAAAACGATTTCACCTTCTCTCTTGTCCTCCTTTCTGTTATGACTCCACTATTTAGGGTTTTCTTTTTGAGTTTTATTTAAATCCCAGTTAGTTAACATACAATGTAATATTAATTTCAGGTGTACAATATAGTGATTCAACACTTCATACATCACCCAGTGCTCATCACAAGTGCACTCCTCAATCCCCATCATCTACTTCACCCATCCTCCTGCCATCTCCCCTCTGGTAACCATCAATTTGTTCTCTATAGTTATGAGTCTGTCTTGGTTTGCCTCTTTCTCTCTCTCTCTGTTTTTTCCCTTTGCTTATTTGTTTTGTTTCTTAAATTCCACATATGAGTGAAATCATATGGTATTTGTCTTTCTTTGGCTTATTTCATTTAGCATAATACTCTCTAGCTCCATCCACATCATTGCAAATGGCAAGATTTCATTCCATTATATACATACATATGTATATGTATGTATATACCACTTCTTTATCCATTCATCAGTTGGTGGATACTTGGTCTGTTTCCATAGTTTGGCTATTATAGATAATGCTGCTATAAACATCGGGGTGTATGTAACCCCTCAAATTAGTATTTTTGTTCTCTTGTCCTCCTTCATCACTGGGCTCTCTAGAAGTTTGATCTGCCTCTCACCTTTTGTTGTTGTTGATGTTGTTGTTGTTTTGTTTGTTTGTTGGAGCAGAAGTATTATAATCAAGATACTATTGTTCGATTATTTCATAAGTATCCTTCACATTTTGGTAACTAAATCATCCTAAAGTGAATTTTATATAAGTTGCAACACTATTTCTAATGAGGCTCCTAGTTCATTGTTGTATTTGTCTAACCCAGGCATCTGTAAGTCAAGATTTGTCTAGTTTAGTTCTCATGGTTACAGATGTTGGGAAGGCTTTGATTGATTTCTTTGACGGTCGCCTCAAAAATTTGGGAATGTGCGCCAGAACATGCCTTCCTGGCTTAAAACCCATTGTAGAATTTTGCTCTCTTGAATTAATTAATGGATTCAGTTTGCAATTCCTTTGGGATAATGAACTGCAGAGTTATTTTGAGATTTGAAAAAAATCAGGCAAACTTAGGGTAAGTGAATAACTGTGGAGGATAATGATTTTTGTGTCTTAACCTTGACTTTTCTATCCTTCAAGATTCTCATTTGTGAATTAAATCCCCAGGTCTCATTTTGTTTGTTTAGTCTGTTGGACATTTTCCTTAGGGGGTCAAATGTTTGTTTATTGGTATAGAGAATATGATAACTAGAGGGACTTCCTAGTTCTAAAAATTCTCCTCGACTGATTGGCACCTGACCTGCTTTGCTACAGTAGCTCAGTGTTTATTATAGGAAAGGGTAATTAATCTTTAAAGAAAGCAGCAGAATATATCCAACTTTCATTCCCTTCACAGTTCAGAGAGAAGACAATCCACGTGTGGCTCAAGTGTCAATAACCAAGTGTAGCTCTGACATGAACGGCTACTGTTTGCATGGACAGTGCATCTACCTGGTGGACATGAGTCAAAATTACTGCAGGTAATATGCCAGAAACAAACAAAACCCAGTGGTTTGTTTTTTTTTTAACTTATATTCTCTATTTTTTTTATTTTTTGAAGTTGACCTATATTTCCATGGGCTATAGTTTATACATACTATTACCACGCAGTTATACATGCTATCAGGAACTCTACTAGGTGAGTTTTTCAGAGTTAGGGAACAAACAGTAGCTCTCAAGTCATACAGATACTTCAGGGGTGCAGAGTGGGGAGGGCGTCAATGCTTCCTTCTCATACTTGCCATGATGGTGGTTCCACTGGGCCTCTACATCAGCCCGTTTTATGAGTTAATTGCATTGATTTTGACAAAAAGCACCTCAAACCTACAAAACTTAAAAACAGCATTGGAGATTGTCAGCCACCCCGGCAGCTGAGCCAGCCTGTCCCTTTACCACCAGGGTTGAGCTGAGAGCTGAGAACTCTCTTTACCAATGTTGGCCCTGCTCTAACGTCAGTCTTCGAATGCCTCTTTACAACTTTTGGCAAACCTTGTTGATTTCTTGCATTACAGTGTGAGATGAGTTCTTAAGCAACTAATTCATAATAATAATTTCTTTTTTGAAGTAACTGATCTTTTTCTCGTATTTTCCTTTAGGTGTGAAGTGGGGTACACTGGTGTCCGATGCGAGCACTTCTTTTTAACCGTCCAACAGCCCTTGAGCAAAGAATATGTGGCCTTGACTGTGATTCTCATTATCTTGTTTCTTGTCATAGTCGCTGGTTCCATATACTACTTCTGCAGTTGGTAAGCCAGTGTTTTTTAACCCCGCTTCTATAAATTATTTTTATACAATACAGACTTATAAACTGGGTAGAACTATGGACCAAGTATTATTTCGAGGGATAAGATGGATTCTCAATGATGGTATTTACAAAGAAGTTTCAGTGGCGGGACATATGGATTTGACTCTACTATTAACTCTTCTATTTCTTTCTTTCTTTCTTTCTTTCTTTCTTTCTTTCTTTCTTTCTTTCTTTCTTTCTTTCTTTCTTTCTTTCTTTTTTTTGAGATAGAGAGCAGCAGAGCACGAGAGAGTGAGAAGGAGATCATGAGTGGGGGGCAGGGGCAGAGGGAGAAGGAGAAGCAGACTCCCCGCTGAGCCAGGAGCCCGATGTGGGACTCGATCCCAGGATCCTGGGATCATGACCTGAGCTGAAGACAGACTCTTAACTGACTGAGCCACCCAGGTGCCCCAGAAATACTGCTTTTTCAGTAGGAAAGAAAGAAGAAAGAAAAGAAGAAAGAAAGAAAGAAAGAAAGAAAGAAAGAAAGAAAGAAAGAAAGAAAGAAAGAAAGAAAGAAAGAAAGAAAGAAAGAAAGAAAGAAAGAAAGAAAAAGAAAGAAGGAGGAAGGGAGAGAGAAAGAAAGAAGAAAGAAAAAGAAAGGAAGGAAGGAAGGAAGAAGAGAGTGGGAAAATTGAGAGAGAAGGGAAGCAAAGGAAAGAAAAATGAGAGAGAAAGAGAGAGAATGAAACACCCAGGCTTAAATTTGGTCATATGTTCTCCTGAAACTTTATAATTTTCATGACATGTTAAAAAGTCTCGGAGAAGTCCTTTAGCTGTGTTTCTCCATTCCCTCCCCAAATTGTTTGACCACAGAACACTACCCCTTTCTCCTTCCTTTTTTTCTCTGGTCCAGCCTAAACCTGTTGACCTTTGTCATTTTGGAAACACTATGCTAATGTACCTTTTGAGTCTGTATGTTGGTTTATTTTGTTAGCATACTTTGTTCTTATTACTATTAACTACAGTGCTAACAGTTTCATTTCTGAATATTTCTAGGTACAGAAATCAAAAAAGTAAAGAGCCCAAGAAGGAATACGAAAAGGTGACGTCAGGGGATCCAGCATTGCCACAAGTCTGAATGAGGCCATCAAGCTACCAGCAGGGATGGTTATGCACGCCTGGTTATGTTAATATTCCTATTTTATTAATAATATTTATGTTGGATCACGTGATAAGTTGACAATGGCGCACTTTTAATATATTTGGACAAGTTTTTTTATTTTTGTTTTATTTTTGACAGACTATTTGCTAATGTATAATGTATAAGAAATATATAATATAGAAAAAAAGTCAATATTTTTCTAAGAAATAATTTCCTGGACTAAATGCTTTAGCTCCAAAGCTTAGTTGCCGGCTACGCCATGTTTAGGAGTGAAGGACGTCCAGTTTGTTGCTCAGGAAGTGTCACAAATGACAGATTTCTGTTAAGCCTAAATATATGGTCAAATCAACTCAAATAAGTGTATTTTCCTACTCCATTAGCGATAACTGGTTTGACTATATTGTAGTTTGATGTATGACTTGGCACGATGGTGTTACATATCAAAACACTAATGTGATGGGAATTGGGGAGAAGCAAATTTGGATCCTGTGCTAAACGCTACACACTGGGACCAACCTAAACCGGGGAGGACTGTGTCCCCCTACCCCATCCTCCACTGTGGCTCCATGTTTAGTGGCCTGGAAGGAAGATGGGCAGTTCCTTACTCTACCCACAATTCCTGCAGATACGAGTCACCCATCTGCAGCTTCTCCTTGCATTAAATGAATTGACAACTTCATTTTATACCATCTTTCATGTAAATAGTAGGCATTTTATAGCTTCGTGATGTTTCTTTTCTTTTCAGTACAACATTTATGTGAGATAACTGTCACTCATGAGACAAGTAAAAAAAATCCACACTAGGAGCCCGAATTTGGGCTTCTTTTCAAGGGTATTTCTTTTCATAGGGACTTTGATTAAGAATCCTAAGATTAAGTCGCAGTCCAAAATTTGAGGGACTAATCACCACTTAAAAAATAAGACAGTAATTCTTTTTTTTTTCTTTTTTTTTCTTCTTTTTTTTCCATTTTTTTAAAAATTTTATTCTTATGTTAATCCCCATACATTACATCATTAGTTTTAGATGTTTTAGATGAAGTGTTCCATGATTCATTGTTTGTGCACAACACCCAGGGCTCCATGCAGAATGTGCCCTCCTCAATACCCACCACCAGGCTAACCCATCCTCCCACCCCCCTCCCCTCTAGAACCCTCAGTTTGTTTTTCAGAGTCTATCGTCTCTCATGGTTCGTAAAAAATAAGACAGTAATTCTATCTGTTGTCCAAAGATGGTAATACAGTTATTTCATCTTCTATGCAAGAGAGTTTTAACTTAAAACAATGCAGTTAAGTAGCTCCTTCTGCAATTTAAAACTATATGGTTAAAGTAATCTCCTGATATAGGATGTAGAAGAAATAGATCACAGTGTATTTTCCCAAATGAACAAATTCATTTGAAAACTTCTGAAATTTAGAGACTTAACCATGCCTTCTTTTGGAGACTGAGATGAAACCAGGGCCCGGTTTTCTGTCTTTTGTTTATTTTGGGGGGAAGAGAAGAAGGTTTCTCGTGTGCTTGAGACCATGGTCTCAGTGAGTTAATAAGGGTACCTGGGGCAACCGAATAAGGAACCGCAGCTGTCAACACCTCCCAGTCTCAGGGGAGACTGCCTCATTGAATACTAGACCTATGGGTAGAGTCTCTCAGCATCACACACCTTGTTAGGGAGGGTCTATTCTTTTTCCACCTTTTTTCCTGGGAGGTGCTAGGGCAACAAAGAGAAAAAAACAATGGCTGACTTCTGACGTGCCAGGTGCCAGGATTTGCCTCCATATAGATCCCTTCTTTCTCCCCTTCATATGTGCCCGGTGCTTTCGTATGACTCTTTCCCAAAGTGTTGGATCTGGTCCCTTACTATTAGGGGAAAAACACACACGTGTGTGTGTGTATAAAATATACATATATAAAATATATATTCATATGCAAAAACACATGTACACATGAGCTCATAGAATTATAGTCATTTGTTGCTCTTTCAAAAATAGATGAAATCTAAAAACAAGATGAAGAGAAATAAAATAAAATTCAGTGAGATCTAAAGGATATTTCTGGCTCCCATTTAATATAGCTGAAGTCAAATGTGCTGTGTAAGAACACATCTTAAGTCCTACACATTCTTACTGACACCTACTAGATGTAAATGAAGTCTGCCTATTTTAAGTGATCTTGATGGTGTCAAAGAAAACTGACTTACTGAGAATCCAACAGCAATTCACTTATTTAACTTACAAAAAGGGAGTTACATTGGTTTATCTTAAACATCTCAATTCATATTATGTAACTAATTGTAAGTAGTTTGAGGTGTTTTTAATTTTAAGGATGCCTAAAAAAACTAGCCCCTGTAAAGATTAAATCTATATTTATAAATGTATATTAAATAATAAAGAGATATGACCCAGATTGTGTCCTATGGGTGAAAATAAGTCAGAAATAATTGTTTTAATGAGGGTAATTCTGAGCAGACATAGCAGATGATTGCCATCAGCTCAAATTTCCTACGAACAATGGAAAGATTTGGGCTGATATTTCTCTTCCTTATTTTACAGATTTCTCACTATATATATTTCTAGAAGAGGCTATATATATCCAATGTACTGAGAACAAATGCTATCAGACATTAAGTCAATTTTTATGTTGGAAATATACGTACTAGTTTCTAATTTCTGTTGAATTCAGTAATCTTGTTTTGAAAAGCTCATGTCTGATCTGCATTGTCATTTTTGCTCCAATATCCACTCTGTAGACTTCGGAGGGAAAAAATGTGTTTAACTTGCTACCCAATATTTTCTTACTTCTTTTCTACTCTTATTCATATGGGAGAAAGGGAGTAACAGCTTGCAAAGCAGTGTATGTTTTTAATGTTTTAGCAAAAAGTAACTTTACCTAAAACATGTCCGTTATTCAAAATGGATGATGCTAACTGTAAGATAGCGTATTTTTCTCTTTGCTGTTTTTGCACTCTTTAATTGCACTTTTTGAGTTTGAAGAGCCATTTTGGTATACAGTTTATATTGAAGATGCTATGGAACATAAAGTTGTGTTGCATGCAGTTTAAACTAACTTATTTGACAATGGATTTTATCAGAGTACTGAATTGTATCAATTTGTTTGTGTTCAATATCAACTTTGATAATTGTGTACCTTAAGATATTGAAGGAGAATATAGATACTTTACAAGATGTTGTTAATGTTTATTTATTTTTGTTGGGAACTGGAAAAAAATACAATTGAAAAATAAAAATGCATTAACTATCGTGCATAAAAGAGTTTCACTGATAAATGGAGTTTTTTTCTTTTTTTCTTTTTTTTCTTTCCATAATAAGTAAAAGCAGTGACAGAACTACAATGTGTTTAGATATAAAGACTTAGAAAGATAGAAAGATAATAGTCTTAGTTTGGGAAAGCCTCACATAAATTTATTATACTTCTGACCTACCACCATGAAGAATTTCTTTAAAATAAAAGGAGCTGCATTTGTTAAAAAATTTTAGTTGTTATTATTTTTTAAAAGAATATGTTCAAGGAGTATTCAAAAAGAATATTTCTAGAAAGAGTTGATATCTACTGAGCAGTAATTTGTGAGAGAACACATCAGCCAGAGTGTGTCTCATGATTCCCTCAGCATCGGCTGACCAACAGGCTTGGCTTCCCTGGGGCTTCCCAGCAAGAAATATTGGTCCCTCTGAACCTCAGTCACAGTGATGGCGTCCTTGGTACATACTTCAACAATGTGCAGAGTGCTCTGTCCACTCCTTGGATCGTTTCATCAGCTTATGCAGAGGGCAAAGAGGCATAACTATGACCATTTGATAGGGAGGGAAAGCCATTTGTCCAGAGTCCCAGTGGTAGTAAAACATGGAGCTGGCATGAGAAGTAAGGTCTACTGATTCCCCAGTTCTGGCCATGTCAGGCCGCAGAGACTTCCTGTGAGTTAAGTCTCAGATGCAGTTTAGAATTTTCTGAGGAGAAACACAAGTTCTTGTAAAATGAAATCTTGGGATCTCACAGAACCCTCAGATTGACTCTGTTCAAAGTCTGAGAACCCAGAGGGTTAAGGAAAAGGGCTCTCTGAAACACTGTTTTCACTTGGCTTCTAGGACATGACCCTCAGCTGGTTTTTCACCTGCTGCTCAGTCTCATGCAGGATCTTCCTGAGTAACTCCTATCCCCCATCACTGGCATGCCCCCAGATCCCCATCTTGGGAATTTTTTTCTGTATATAGCCACTCCCTATTTTATTTCACAAAGTCCTGTGCCTTTAATTATCATCTATATACTGATTCCTCCCAGCCTAAATATTTCCCGAGTCCTAGACTTCTTTTTTTTAAATTTTAAAATCCAATTTAGTTGACATATAGTGTATTATTAGTTTCAGGGGTAGAATTCAGTGATTCATCAGTTGCATAGAACACCCAGTGCTCGTTACTTCAAGTGCCTCCCTTAATGCCCATCACCCAGTTACCCCATCCCCCACCCACCTCCCACCCAACAACCCTCAGTTTTTTCTCTATAGTCAAGAGTCTCTTATGGTTTGCCTCCCTCTGTATTTTTATCTTATTTTATTTTTCCTTCTCTCCCTCTATGTTCATCTGTTTTGTTTCTTAAATTCCACATATGAGGGAAATCATATGATATTTGTCTTTCTCTGACTGACTTATTTCGCTTAGCTTAATACCCTTTGGTTCCATCCATGTCATTGCAAAGGGCAAGATTTCATTTTTTTGATGGCTGAGTAATATTCCAGTGTGTGTGTGTGTGTGTGTGTGTGTGTGTGTGTGTACCACTTCTTTATCCAGTCATCTGTTGATGGACATCTGGGCTCTTTCCATTATTTGGCTACTGTAGTCCTAGACTTCTTTATCCCACTACCTATGTAACATTTCCACTGGATATCCACTAGACACTCAAAAGTAACATGTTCAGTAATTGATATTCCCCTAAAACATTGTTCCTTCTAAAATGTTGCTATCTTAGTTCAATTTAATTTCATCCTTCCTGTACCTTAGGTTGAAAACCTGGTATGATCCTCTGGAGGTGCCAAATGACTCACTTTCAAGAGATTTCAGAGAGGATTACTCTCAACTTTTTACAACAATGTCAAAATTATTCATTTTGAAGAGATTATGCAGAAAGAAGAAAATTCCAGGAAACGAAAGTTAGAATATCACAGTTTTCTAAAGAAGAAAATTATAGGCCCTTAATTTGACTTTGATCAATTCTAGAACATATTTCTCCCCAAATGGTCACAAGACATTATAAAACATAAGTGCTGTTCATTAGGTTCTAACATGGATTTATTAAGAAGGAGACATAAAACATGGGTCTCTTTTCAATATCCCGTCTGGTCACCAGCTAGTGCTAACTACTTGTCATAGGAAACCAAACACAGATAGCCCATTCAATTTCTCTGAATTTCAGAGATATATTTGGGAAAAGTCTTCCAAATATTTCCTATGAGCCTGAAGTGCAAAGTACCTATTCAGAAAATTCTTAATCTCAGGAAACAAACTGAGGGTTGCTGGAGTGGTGGAGGGTGGGAGGGATGGGGTGGCTGGGTGATAGACATTGGGGAGGGTATGTGCTATGTGAGCACTGTGAATTGTGTAAGACTGTTGAATCACAGACCTGTACCTCTGAAACAAATAATACATTATATGTTAATAAAAAAAAAAAAGAAGAAGAAGATAGCAGGAAGGGAAGAATGAAGAGGGGGAAATCAGAGCGGGAGACAAACCATGAGAGACTATGGACTCTGAGAAACAAACTGAGGGTTCTGGGGGGTAGGGGGGTGTGGGGATGGGTTAGCCTGGTGATGGGTATTAAAGAGGGCATGTACTGCATGGAGCACTGAGGTTATATGCAAACAATGAATCATGGAACACTACATCAAAAACTAATGATGTAATGTATCATGATTAATATAACATAATAAAAAAAGTCATAAAAAAAGAAAATAAGCACAGCTTAGGCTCATTTAATGCAGGTGCTGTGAGTGAACCGTTATATGCTAAACAGATGGAGGCCATGTGACCACATTATAGAAAACATTGGGGATACAGAAAATAAACAACAACAAAAAAATACAGTTAGTGGAGGGGTGCCCTTCCAATCCATCTATCAGGAGGGAGCAATGCTTTTCTATTTCTCCTTCTGGAGATGGCAGGATTGATACCAAGGAAATACATGTCATGTTCCTTGCGCTCAGCTTGCTATCAGGAGTAATTTACATTCTGAAAAAAAAAATCAGTACTTTATGAATCACTCAACCAATATTTATTGAAAAGCATTTTGTATCTAGTAATATACAAGGGCTTGTGGAGTATTTGAAAAAATAAAGCATGAAATATACTGTAGTTAAAAAAGAACTTAAAGTTATGAATATGTTTAAAGAACAATGCAAGGCTTTAGCAGTTAGGGTTCTTTGACTTTTATGAAACAGAAAATGATTCAGGCCTAACCAAGAAAAAATTTGTAGGAAGGATATGGGTGGTTTGATAGAATTAAAGTAAATTCTGAGGAAACACAAACAGCATCATGTCAAACAATTTAGAGCAAGGTGGCATCAGTTGGGAAGCTTTTCTTGAGGGGGTGGGTTTGGAAAATTGACAGGACTTTGATA